TGTCTGTTTGGATCTTAAAGTTCCATAAAATCTTAACCCACTCATTCTCCAAAACCTTCTCAACTTTTTTTTTTTTTTTTTTTACAGTCAGATCCAAACTTCTGGAAAAGTTATTACTATTTTAATTTATTGGCTTCCCAAATCCAATGTACAGTGGATAAAAATTAGAAAAACAAACAAACATAAAAACACCTAAAACATTAAGTAAGACACAGTCCAGATTAAAATGATCTAATAGATTACAAAATCAACAATACAAAATAGTGGCCTTAGAAAAATATTAAGCATCAACCCCAGGCCAGTGGTCAAATCCAGGTTTCCAAGTTTTCCAGAACTCTAGGAGTTTATCTTTTGCTGCTGTTCCAAATATGTTGTTCTGAAGTCTTCTTTGATTTGTTCTTTCATATGTGAGGAACATTGTTATTTTGTAAAAAGAGATGGAACTTACTGGTGACTTTTGGCCAATCGCTCTCCATGTTTCAGAGGTTTGTTGAAAGAATGAAATAGGAGATCCAATTTATCTTTTCCAAATATTTCCTATAGGATGTAGGACCTTTTAACGTTTTCATAGATTTACAGAGTCCTGTGCATCTTCATGTCAGATTTCATCTTGCCTGGCACTGAAATGTCGTGACAGGTTAGTCATTATAATTGAATGTAATTGCCATTCTCTTGACATGCAGTGTGTGCAACCAAGTAGCTCCCTGGAAAAAGTGTGTTCATCAAAGAGAGGGGATAAGAATTATTTTCAAAGGTGAAGCTTACATTCCTGCATTAAAATTTTAATTTCATTTTCTTCTCTTTCTTGGCCTCTGCTAGCCCTGTGCATGTATGTGAATGCACAAAATGATAAGAGGTTGACTAAAATTTATGGTATGAAATGGAAGAATGTGACACAGGCCTGACATTTTTTATGTCAATTATAAGTTATACAATCCAGTTCTATACTACCAGTGAAAAATGAACTAAAATATGAAAGGTCATGCAAGAAAAAAAAGATTAGTTTTATAAAAAGGTGAACTACATTGCTAGCAGGATCCTCTGATGCTACTATAGGCAATTAAAATTGTGCAATGCATCATGTTATAGAATAATAATAAATATAATTCAAAGAGCAAAGTCATTAAAAGTTTCTCCAGTCAATGACCTATTAGAATTGTCTGCATATGGAAAAACACCAGTTTAATTTATTATTGCAAACTACTCAAATATAATTATTAATAATATAAATAATAACATCAACAATAAATTATTAATTTGGGATAATGTTGCAATTTCTACTGACTGGCCTACATTTTGACAGCAGGCAAGGAACATGTTTGCAGTGTCTGAGCATGCACGATGGTATCATTATACATGACATGGGGATATGAAATAAGGCTTTACTGGGAGATCACTATAGAAAGGGGCTTGCCATATCTGATCCTGCTTTGCTGTGGACATCTCTGATGGAGAACTTCCATCAGAAGTTCTGGAAAGAATTGCCTGCATCAATATTTTTTTAAAAATATAATTATTAAAGTTTACAGATACAAACATACAAAACTAATATAAAGTAATAAAAAATATAAGCATTAAAAAATTGAAAGTGCAGAGAGAGAAAGAAAGAAAGAGAGAGAGAGAGAAAGAAAGAAAGAGAAAGAAGAGGAAGGAAGGAAGGAAAAGGAAGGAAGGAAGGAAGGAAGGAAGGAAGGAAGGAAGGAAGGAAGGAAGGAAGGAAGGAAGAATAAATTATGTAAAGAAATAAAATGACTTCTGCCTTCATTGAGACAAGTACTTATCATCTTCTCTGATACTACAACAAAATAGCTCTTCCTTCCCATATCTCATCTCTTCTTTATAAACAAATTTTAAAAGCCTTGTTGGACCAACTTTTTATATGTTTCCTTTTGCTGTTAAGAAAGTTGAACTTTGAATAGTATTCACAGTTTATTTCTTTTCATTTTCTCTTTGTCACTTTTCAGAAACTCCTTCATAAATTTAACATGTCTTTATTGCAAATCCAAGATAAGAAAGTCATCCAAGTTTCCTTTGTGGTTTCTTTTATTTGTATATGCCTTTTAATTAATAAGACATCAGCTGGTTTCATTTGTAACCCCCCCTTTTTTTTGTAATGAACATTTTCCCACGCTTAAAATCTTCATGTTTTTAAAATAGGATTTCAAACAACCCCCAGAAAAGATTTTTATAATTCCAAATTTTATTTCAAATCCATTGACTTCTTAATCCATTTATAATTTTCCAAAAACAATGTTCACCTCTTGACTGTTTATTCCAAAATAATTTTAAGACCTTAAACTTGAATAACACCTGTTTCACCAAGGATTGAAAGAAATTCAAATTGTGTAATAAAACTTACCTTTCTGAATGTTCTTAATATCCAAAAAGCAATTTCCCAAAATAATTAAGTATGCAAACCTAGTATTCTTTTTAAGATCCTGAACTGTTGCTTGGGCAGAAATTGCTTTCCCTTGACTCCCAGAGCAATAAAAATCTGCCAGATTGTTATTTTATGGTTTCCTTTCAGGGAGCCACTGTATGGAGCATCTGTGAACTGTCCCAGGACTTCTCCTTATCCAGAGGGGAATTCTGATCCATTCTTTGGTTCCTTGTTCTACCACCGTTATTGGCTCAGCTCTTCATGGAGTCCACCATTAGTCCACCATTGCTTCCTTTGAAGTCCTCTGCATCTCTAATCTTTATCAGCATAAGCATTTGGATCTTAGATATTCACCAAGATCAGTCCTTTTCAAACAATATATGTTCTTTTTTTTTTTCTGTGTGCAAGCTGATTTCAGTAAGAATTCTGAAAATCATGGCTTAGAAGAAGCAGAGGTCTATTGGCAAAATCATGAGCCATATTAATAGATACAACCAGAGGATCAGGGTTATTCATGGAGGGTGGATAAACAATGTCAAAATCAAAAGTTTGGGTAATCAAAACCCTGCCCCCTTTAACATGTGTGCGATGGATATGATGCACATTTTGACACCCCTCCCCATGGGTACTCCTGAGAGATCCAGTGGATAAAGTGTTGGATTAGGATCTGTGGGACATAGGAACACGCAGGTTCCATCAGCCAAGGAAGCTTATTGGGTAATTTTGAGCCAGTCACTCTCAGCCCGTCTTATTTACAACATTGCTATGATTGCTCTTTGGGGGAAAATTTAGAGAAGGGATGATATTTACGTTACTGTAATCTCCTCTTGGTAAAGTGGAATATAAATTTATCAAATACATGAAATAAATGTATCTGTTCAACCATCTGTCAGGGTGCCTTGAATTGGATTCCTGCATAGAACAGAAGATTGGATTCTGTAGCTTTTCAAATTTTAAAGTTCTACCCTTAAAAAAGCATTAGCTTATTTCCAGAATATTTCCACTGTGCTGTTCTGTTAATGAGCCATTCTAAGCTCTTACCGTCTTTTAGAAAATTAAGTTATCCATACCAATCGTTGGAAGGCATGATCCTTCTGACACACATAGAGTGCATAATCATACTTTAATCTCTGCGTGTAACTGACTGATTCCCACAGATGCTGCGGTTTAGGTAGTTAACTGTGCTGTGGATGTTCCTTGTTTGTTTTGCAAGTAAAATAATAATGAAATAGTGGGCACTTGGTCGTGGCTGCTAGCTCTCTTTATTGCAGATGCTATTTTTCTTTATTTGGTAACTGGCACCTGAAACAGACTTAAACAGAATGTGAAAAATAAAACCTATTTCATGTAATATATCTTTCTTTGAAAGGAGCTGCCATTTATTTGCTTGTGTTTCTATTGCCAATCTTGCTATCTCTTGCTATGTAAACTCACAGGGATTCCCAGGCACAACATGAATATTCATTTTAGCAATTCTTGGGAAATATTTAATGAATTTTAAAAGATTATCACAATGTATATAGCATTCTTTCAGTAAGGCAAATGTTCTTCCCAATATCTTATATTTACTTTTAGAGGAACTGCTGGTCAGAAATCTGATGGTTTTGGTCAATACCCTTTCTGTTCCCCAGTGAAAAACTTGTTTTCCATTTTTCTGTCCACAGATCATGTTCTGCTTAATGAAGAAAAATAAATTAATGAAATCTATTTACTTGATTAGAAGATGATCCTGAATTTAAAACAATTCTTTTGAAGAATTGTGATTTTTGATTAAAAAAAATTTAATGCAACACCAATTTTATAACCTTGTCCATCCAAAGCTCTACTGAAAGATTTTTTTTCTCTTCCCATAATGATTGTGTGTAATGCTTTTGTGTGTTAATGGCATATATATCCAGAAGCCACACTTCTTTCTTTCTTTCTTTCTTTCTTTCTTTCTTTTTTGGTTAAAAAAGGCAGAGCCAGGATAAAAGTCATTAATTCTATTAGTAGCTTCTGATTAAAATCAACTGGTTGTAAAATAACCAGTTAATAATAACCTTCAAAGGTTATTGAACTTTATTATTAATAACCTTTTGTAAAGTTAACTGTTTACTCCCAAGCAGTAGCTAACGTTAAAGGGAAATGATTTTATGGCTATCTATAACCATTTGCGTCTCTCACCTCTCTCCATATTTTTAACAGTCTGATATTATTCTCTGCTGTTCTTCTCAATGTAATATGATGATCCTGCATCCATAAATTTTCCAGTAATTATAAGTGGGGGGGGAAGCTTGGCTTACTGTTACATAAATATGGTATTTGCCAGAAACATGAAATGAGTTTTTAGGCAAAAGAAACCTAATTTGATGGTTTGTCAGTGGGTAAAACCTTTTAGAAATAATGTGTTATCTGTCCTGTGCTATTATGTAGTTGAGTCCACCAATGCTCATACTTTGCATCTGCTTTGTTATTAATTCATTTTGTTCACATCTTTAATTCAAACTGACACAGTGTCCGAAGGTTTTCATAACTTTCTTTAATGGAATCTTGTGCTTAGATCTAGTACTGTTGGATGCAGTTGAAATGTTAATATAACTGGCTAAGTTACCTCTATATGTTTTTTATGTGTGTGTTGCAGCTGGGGCCACATATATCTTTGGGAAAAGTGGAGGCCTCATCCTGTATACTTGGCCAGCAAATGACAGACCCAGTACAAGGACAGACCGCTTAGCTGTTGGGTTCAGCACAACAGTAAAAGATGGCATCTTGGTACGGATTGACAGCGCCCCTGGCCTTACTGACTTTTTACAACTTCATATAGTAAGTACAGATCTTTTATCCTTCATTTTGCCTTCAGTTTACACAAATTCATTTAAATAGCCAAAAAACAAAATAAATCAAAAACAAAAACAAAATCCTACTTATAAGTACGTATTTCTAACAAATGTAATCTTAAACAATGATTAAGAATTTTTTTCCCCTCCATAGTGTATATAAACTGTATCCTGGAGGAGTCTAAAGATAATCTAAGACTTTAAGTCTGCTTGTTTAATATTGTCTTAATATAAGCAACTATAGTTTTCATAGGACAAAATTTAAATTTATACTTTTCTAAGTTCAGACCAGTGTTTCTCAAACTCTTTGCCCATAGCGCTCTTATGACTTTGATTTTTTTTTTCCTGTGACTCCACTGTCCAGGTCCCTTTACTAGATATGCATTCTCTGATGTCAACAAAACAGCATTTTCAGGGTTTTTTTCTGTGTGCCCCCCTCAGTACATGCCAACCCCCCCCTACACACACACAATTACATGTTTTTTCACCTGTGGTTTCCTTGGAATATCCAGATGACCATATGGGTCCTGATTGAGAACTGTTGGTTATATTATAGAAGAAACATAAAAAGAAGCTAGAATAGTCTTAAGAAATGGCAAATTAAATAGGGTGGAAGCTAGCATTTCAGTCTCAGCAATCATATACTAGTACATATACCTACAAACTGGTGCTCTCTAGATTTCTTAGATTTATAGTTTTCAGATTTCTGAATCAGAATATCTAATACCTGGTATTTCTGGGATTTGAAGTCCAATAAACCTGAGATAGATTGCATTGGGTATTAGTCTCCAATTTTATTGACTATGGGATAATGGATAGCTGATCATAAAACAGTGAAACTGAAAATGACTCAGAGATACACATAAAGAGGATGAATAAGGAACCAATTTATGGTTTATTGTGTAATCCAAATATTAAGGAAAAAATTACCAGCATCTCCTTGCTACCTATTTAATATGCCATCCTCACTACTCCTCTGCTTGATTTCCTAAGAAAAGCTCGCATGCATGCAATTATTTTAGAATTCCCCAAATTAAAACCCAGAGTAACTAAAATTCAAGATGCTATTTTACTTAGTATAAACATTTAACGTATACATGGGTGTTCTTGAATCTGGCATGGTTCCTGAAATATATAGAAATACACAGCTCCAGCAGTGTTTTTGGAGTTCAAGTAAAAAGAGTTCATAATTTCAAAATCTCTTTTTAGATTATTGTGCCATGCTCTACTTATGTTTGTTCTTCATCAATGTTTGGAAACTACATTTTATTCTAAAGTGCTGGTCAGGTTGGATTTCATAATAAGATTACAATGGTGCTATATTACACTGTTTTTCAGTCATAATTCAATTGCATTTTTTACTTACTCAATGCTTTGGGGCATATAGAGAATCAATTCTTTGTTCAAGAACAGGATCATCATGTTATGATGATCACTGAAGGCCACTATATTCCATTATCTTAAGAAACTAAGTTGTTGAGTATTTAGGAGAGGGCCTAATATTTCCTATATTAGCACTGTGATTATGAGACCATCAGTGAAATTGGATCCTTCAATATAGGGCATTGTGCAGAGTCCTATGAGGTTTTCTGAATTGTCAGTTTTTTAATACCACATCATTTAATAACTCTCTAATTTTAATTCCATTCTCAAATATCATTGAATGAATTATTGGCTTTGCTGAAGAAAGCAATTTTGAAGTTTAATGAAATAAACACAAAGGAATGCTATCCTACTGCAATCTCATTTGATTTGCTTCCTATCAGTAATACATGATTTTCTATAATCAGTTTTACAACATTGGAACTGTTATCTTGGTTTTCATGTCTTTGTCCTTATAAATGAGTTTTAGTCTACATCTACCCAGACACCTCCCTTTTTTGCAGTAACAATATAAACTGTATGGATTTGCTTCAGTTCATTCTTTATTGCTGTATTCGTATTTAAAACATCTCTGTTTATGATTGCATAAGTTTGTTTTTTAAAAAAAACTCAGATTGAGAATTCCTGTGACATTTGGAGCAAAATGAAATAATGAACCTCATACATGAAAACACATACAAATACAGAATATTGTCTCATAATCAAACATAAAAAACATACAATAATATGATAGCAATTTCCAGTTCTTATTTGGTATTCCTCTGATAATCAATTCCCTTGACATCTTAAAGGCAGTTCCAGGGATTCTCGGGACACTTATTATAACACATACTTATGTGCGTATGAATGAAGTAAATACAAAAAAATCTTATTAATTTTTTTCATGACTATAATTTATGAAAAATCCTTTTGGATTCATTTTTTAATTATGAGTCCTTTAAATACTCATAGATTTATGTGCTCAGGCATCTATTTTGTATGTATCTCTCTCACACAGAGAGACACATACAGAGGGAGGGAGTAAGGGAGGGAAAGAGGGAAAGAGAGAGAATGGATGGCATACCTCCAGAATGATTCAATTCATCAATTGATATTAATAGTCAGGCAGGATTAAATGTATCCTTAGAGAGGGTACAGTGCTATATTGGTATTGTTCCACCTTGGGAGAGGAATGGGTATGTCTCCATTGGAGGTAGACTGATATCAGTCCTTCAAGATGGGCCAGGCCAAAAAACAAATTCCATAAGATTATTGGAATACAATTTTATAATTTAAGGTAATGGAATCTTGAGAGATTTTGTCTTCTTCCTCTTATACCCAAGAGAGTCAATGCACGACAATCTTCAATTTTTTTTTCTTCATTTCATCCTACTTTCCAAGCTAAGCTGAATTTAATGTAACAGCTGTTGAACACTTTTTTGTTATCCCAAGCCATCTCTGTCTCCAGAAGAGATCTAACTTTGATCTAACCCAAAGTGCTTCTATATATGCATTCACTCTACTCCACTCTAATGCATCTTAACTGCACCAACAGTAACGTGTGATGTACAAGAAGCAATAATTGCTCGCAGAAAATAAAACAAGGATTCAGCAGGAAATCTGTGGCTTATGAAAGAGATTGTACTGCTGACATCTACAAACCTTTTTCCTGGTTTTTAGAGCTTTATATTTCTGCCTATCATCTAACTATTTATTGCAACCTATTCTTTGAATATTTGTAAAGGAAATAAATGAGTCCTGATTCTACCAAAGGTGTTAACGACTGAATCTGGTAAGATAAAAACCAGAAATTCCTAATTTATAGCAAATGTTTATATAAACAAGTCTGTGTGACTGCAAGCCTTACTGGAGAAAGATTGGAAGAAAAAGCCCAGAATTTAAATTATGAAGCATAACCAGATAGAAGGGTTTTGACTTGTCTGCACTGCACAGAAGTAAATTATGTCCATAATAGTTCCTTGATCCACCAATTTAATCAAAAAAGGCAATAAAGTTTTTCTGACATGATCTGTTTTTAACACATCCATGTTGGCTTCTATAAACAGATTTACTCATTTCTAGGTGCTTGCAAATCTGCTGCTTGATTTTCTTTTCTAGGATTCCCAGATATTGATGTCAGGCTGATTGGTCAGTAATTTCCTGGATCCATTTCTTCCCCCTTTTTTGAAGATTGGAACTGCATCAGTTCATTTCCAGTCTGCTGGTAGTTCCCTGGTGCTTCAGGAGGTCTAAAAGATTACGCTCAGTGGCTCTGAGATCACATCTGCCAGCTCCTTCAGAAACCTGGCATGTAATCCATTGGGTGCTAGCAATTTGAATTCATTTAGAGTGCATTGGTAGCTTATACAGTTAGGACACTGGCTTGGAGGTTAGCAAGCCTGCGTTTGGAATCCGAGTGCTGCCATGGGACCAGACATGACCAACTGGGTGTCCTCAGAGCAATAGTGATGTCACCAGCTAATCCTTTCAACCGGGAAGCGCATTGGTGCTTCTGACATGAGTGCAATGTGATCTAGGGTGGATAGGTGTTCTCTTACTATTTTCTTACCTTTATTGACATATATTCCTAGTATATCTTCTACGGTATTGCTTTTGATAGGTAGGACTATTTTTTTCTTTTGCGTAAAAATAGATGCAAAGAATGAATTAAGCAGCTCTGCTGTCACATTCTTTTCATCTTCTCCCTTTAGCGGACCAATTGTTTCCTTGATTTTTTCCCCTTGTTGCTTACATGTTGAACATGGGTACATGGTAATCATAACATATGGAATTAATCCAATTGCCTTGGTTTCTTTGATATCATGAACTATAATCTAACCACATAGACTGAGTTCATGCAGCATATTAGGATAATTCTTTTGAATTTTCCAGCATTTTGCTTTCTTGAAGGATAGAGATTGATTGACTCCATATGCATAAAAGAAAGAAGTGGAAAGAAAGCCTCACAAAACAATATAAAATAAATAGGAAATCAAACGTATTAATTAGAATAGGTCAAATTGTTTTCTAATCAGTGTTCCCAGTGGGAAAATATTTGTTCAGTAAAAGAAAAATATCAGCACATTGTGACGGCTAATGAGTTTCCATCCATCATTGCATCATTTTTTTGTACATTATATCTAATTCTGTTTGTCTAGTAACAGTTTAACTTGTGTTAGTATTATTTTTGACATATAGCTGAGTTTGAATATTTACAAAAGCCAATGGGTCTTCCAAAACATAATTAATATGTCAAATAACTTTTGTCCAAAAGAGACCAAGTATAAAATAAAACTACACTGTGAAAATCATAATGTAATTATAATTATTGTAATTATAGTATTTTTGAGTAAATTGTGTTAATTGCAATTTTTAATGTAATTCAAAACTAACAATATGAAAATTACAATATGTCTAAGAAAATGTGACAAATAGATGCTAAAATGGCCTTCCAGTGATGTTCAGGTACCAGATTCTTCAATTCCTTATTTCATTTCTCTTATGCTTCAGTACATTCTGACAACTTTTAATAAATAGTCATGATAAAATGGCTGTAATGGCAAATTTCGAATATTTAGGACTTGATATTTTTTGACCTTAGAAAAAGGGATCATTTTAAAAGCT